CTGTGGTCAATGACATGAGACAAAGTATATGTGAACTGCTGTATGGAAAGTGAATTTGCTGTGTAAATCTTCACCCAAATAAAAATAAATTAAAAAAAAAAAATAAGAAAAAGAAAGAAATGCTGAGTGCTGTTGAATGGAAAACAAATTTGCTCTGTAAACTTTAACCCAAATCACAATAAAAAGTTAAAAAAAGAGAGAGAAAAAAAAAAAAAGGAAGACAAGGAGAACTACATGAGAGTTACAGAAAACAAAGGTAAATACTATTATATATACAACCCTGTATTGTCACTATAACAAACATTAATTCACAAGTGAATACATGGGTAAACAGGCAAGGTGAAAGGTATGGGTAGGCAAACAGGACTATATCCATGACCATATATAGGTTTGGCAGACATATGTATTTGTTGTACATGCTGTAAAAATATCCACGTGTATAGTAGAGCAAAAAACCTAAGCCCTGCCATCGAGTCAATTCTGACTCATAGCGATCCCCTACAGGGTTTCAAAGACTGTTGATCTTCATGGAAGTAGACTGCCTCATTTTTCTCCTATGGAGCAGCTGGTGGGTTCAAACCACTGACTTCTGGTTAGGAGCCCAATGCTTTAACCACAGCACCCACCACCAGAGTACCATATAATAGGAGCAAACAGGGGGCAAAGTTATGAAAACTTCTTAGTCACAACTACATACCTTAAGGGAATGAATCACTGGGCCTGGGGGCTCAGGACCATAGCTGCAGGGAACATCGAGGTTGTAGTAGTTAAGGTTGTGTGTCCACTTGGCTAGGCACGGTTGAGTGGCTGGGCAACTGGTGGTAGTTATTCTCCATGATGAAACTGACAGTCACCTCCATGGTGGGATCTACCACAAGCAGCTGAGTAGCTGCTTTAGAGATGCAGTCTGCTTCCCGTATATAAGAAACAGCTTTGGGAATGGTCTCTCACTTATGGCATGCTTGAACCATGCACGTAGCCATGTCATTGTTCAGCAGCCTGCCATGCTCTGCCAACCTTGAGACTTTCAATGGACTTGAATTAACGGCCTGCCGTGTGGTTTGGTAACACTGGGAGTGTGCCTTTTTACTTGTCAACCTCGGGCTTGTCAGTCTCAGCAGCCAGCAGATGACTGAGTAAAGAAAAGTCTCCAGCTTCGGTGGGCCAGGAGCAAGAGGCAGAGCTGAAACCCAAGGTGGAGGGGGTTTCACCCCTAGAGCCTGGCACTTTGAACTCAGACTTAGAGACTTCATAAGAGAATAAACTCCTGTTTGTTAAAGCCATCCCATTTGTGGTATTTTCTGTCAAGGCAGCACAGAGATAACCAAAACGAACGTCAACTGGCATAACATAGTCCACAAAGACAATGTCCTACACCCTACTTTGGTGAATAGTGACTAGGGTCTTAAAAGTTTACGAGCAGCCATATAAGGTGCAACTATTGGTCTCTCCCTGCCCAAAGCAAAGAAGACTGAAGAAAATCAAAGATACGTGGATGTAATTAGTCCAAGGGACTAATAAATCATGTGAACCTCAGCCTTCACAACCCTGAGACCAGAAGAAATAGATGGTACTTGGCTAACACTGTTGACCACTTTGAAAGGGATCACAACAGGTGGTCCTGGACGAAATGGGTGAAAAACTGTGGAATAAAAATCAAAATTACAAAAAAGACCAGACTTACTGGTCTGATAAGACTGGTGGAACCCCAAGACTATGGCCCTTAGTCACCCATCAAGCGTGAAAGTGAAAAGTAAAAAAAAATTACACTAAAGCCTAAAAGCTTGCGAAAAGTAAATATTCCAGATTCTATAAAAGTAAGTAACACCTACAATCCTACTTACCTTGGCTTCTCTCGTTTTCCTCTTTGTCTTTCAAAATCTCGTCCTCTTTCCTTTCCCTCTCTTGATTTTTCTTCTATTCTGTCTTTTAGTTTATATTTTTCTTTGTATTTTTTCCCCAGAGCAATATCTTCCTGTATAGGAGGGGGTGGACTAGGAGTACGAGGTCCTTTCTTTTTGCTTTGATTGCTTTTTGAAGTTCTGAAGATAACACAAAGTGATCATTAGAAGTTCAAATATGTTTGAAAGGTAATATGCATATACGTATGTATACATACATACACACACACACACACACACACGTACGTTAAGGAGCTCTGGTGGCACAGTGCCTAAGGCATTTGACAGCTAGCTAGAAGGCTGGTGGAAAACCCACCAGCCACTCCGCAAGGAAGGCTGGGCAATCTACTTCCAAAAAGATTTACTGCCTAAGAAACCCAAAGGGGGTCGCTACGAGTTGGAATTGACTCAATGGCAGTGAGTTTCTTTATATATATGTTATTTGTCCATTTTAATGAGCACTTTTTTTAAAAAAAGGCAATCATCCTTTCTATCACTGACTTTTATTATTTTATATGCTAATAACCAATAACCAGGAAAAAAAAATTCATAGAAATGAGCAAAGAATTAATTTACTTACCACACATTTTATTATCAACACTTATTATAAAAATTTAAAGGGTAGGTTTCCGAGAAAAGATAAGGAGCAGAAGGAAAAGACTTTCAAATAAGGAAACAATATCATAAAATTAAACTGTTTGTCTTACATTTTTTCATAGTGAAAAGTACTGTTTCATTAGCTTATAAATGTGCTCAGTGTAAACAAAAAATAAAACCAGTGATAATATAGAAAAGTAGAAATAATCTATAATTCTACTACCCAAGAGTAACTACTGCTAACATCTTTGATATATTTTCACACTTTTTCTGTCCTTGTCTCTTTCTCCCTCCCTCTCTCTCTTTCTCTCACAGCGAGAGAGGGAACATCCTATCATAATGTTTTCTACATATTTTTATACTAAATAAAATATGAGCATCTTTCTGTAAAAGTAGATTTCTGTCTTTATTATTAAAAAACATACAGAATTAAATAGTTGCTAGATAATTTCTTTAAACAATCTGATACTGACAAATTTTGCAGGTGGCTTCCAAGTTTTCATCACTACAGAAAACACAAAGTTACATCATCTACTAATGAAAATGAAATCCTAAGCATTGGTAGAAACATTCATTTAAATTTTTGAGTCTTCTCTAAGAAAACTTTCCAAACTCTAAGATCATAAAAAATGTCTCCTAAATGTTGGAATTGGAATTCAGACTTTCACATTTAAGTCTTTAATCTACCTGGAACTGATGTTTGGGTATAAAGATCCTCTCATTTGGTACTTTTAAGTAATTTTACACTAAATGATGTAAGTTTAAGTTCCTACCCATCCAAAACTGTCTATGTTTGCCTCATATCTGAATAATGTTTGACTAGATACAGCATTTTGAGGTCACAAACCTTTTCCCTCAGAGCTCTGAAAAATCCTGTAGCAGTTAGTGTTGTAGATGAGAACTCCAAACACAGGTTTTTCTTGTTTTTATCCCCCTATGTTGGTTATTAGGAGCTCTGGTAGCATAGTGGCTAAGACAGTTGCCTGCTAACCAGACGGCTGTCGGTTCAAACCCACCAGCCACTCCTCGGAAGGAAGGTTGGGCAATCCTACTTCCGTAGTGATACTGCCTCGGAAACCCAAGGAGGGGTCGCTATGAGTCAGGTATGACTCGACGGCACATAACAACAACAACAATGTTGGTTATTTGGTTTTTCTCTTGAACTACTTATAAAACATTATTCCTTAGAAATCAAACATTTCACCAAGATTAAGTCTCAGTATTTTTAAAAATCTTTTCCCACACTGAGACTTTTTAATCTAAAACCTCAAGCTTTTTACTCAATTCCCTGCACTTTTATTTTATCATTTCTCCATATACCCAATCTCTCTGGTTCTCCTTAATATACAGTTACAGAATTCCTGGATGTTTTCCCATGTCTCAATGCCCTATCATTTCTCTCTCTCCTTGTGCTTATTGATATCTCAAAAGAGTCTTCAAATTCAGTAGTTTTTTTTTCCAAGTAGCACCTACTCAACTAATTCTAAATTTGGTCATCTCATTACTCTGCTACTTTCAGAATGAAAATCTTCTTCTTCAAAAAAGGCCATGTACATATATTGCTTTTTTTCCTCCCCTCAAGACCAACTGTTGTCATCATGTCAATGCAACATTTTCTCAAATCATACAAAAAGTGTTAATTTATTATTTAAATTTGTTCCTTTTTTTTTTTCCTTTTGCATTAACCAATTATGTACAAGCCAGATACTTTGAGCTTTCAGTCTGGTACTCCATCTTTAAGTAGTCATTTCTTTTCAAACCTCTGGTAAATTTTCACTGGCTACTCATTTCACTCTCTGTGGATATTTACAAATGAAAATTTAACCTTAAATTCCAGAGCTTACTTCCTATGATCTTGATTGAGTTCTCTAGTCATTACACTCCTTAGCTCTGAAAAAGTAAAAGGCAGTCCCTTCCTCCAAAATGTAGATAAGATTACAAAAAGGTAAAAGTATAAAATTACCAGAGTCATGGTGAACATGACTAAAATTTAGCTCTCCCAGTCCCTATCCCTAGTTCTAATTATCATAGCTAGGATTAACCACTTAAGCAAATAAAAAATTATTAAAATATGGCCAAATCTATCTTTCATCCTCTTCTTCTGCCAAGAAGTATATTATGTACATATCTCATTGTATATTTATAGTAATTAAAACTTTTATGCACCTAATATAAGTGATAAATGTCTATATTTACAAGTATTTCTTTCACTTAAAAAGTAAAGATAATAGCTGGGATCTGTATCAAAAATTCTAAGATGCATATATTCAAGATAAAATGATGGAGGAACTCTTGAAGCTAAGTATATTTTCACATTATCGCCTGTGACAGCTGTTTACCAAACTTTTCTCCTGGCCAGAGAGCTAAGCTATAGTCTAATCTTTTGGATATTAGATGTGGCCAAGTGACCAAGTTTTGGCCCAAGGAATGTCAGTGGAAGAGATGTGTACTATTTCTAGGCCTAACTCACAAAAATCTCTGATACTCCAGGCAATGTAAACTAAAAGCTAAATAAATGCAATAACCATTTATTTTTTTTTTTTGTACAGTCCATTCTTTGCTGTCCTTGAAAGCCCAAGAAAGCAGAACCACAGTCAGAAGGAGCCTACATCACTAAATCATCATAGGAGAGCCCCTGTTAATCAGAAACAGGCATTCTGACTTCACCTAAATAAAAAATAAACTTCTGTTTTATTAAACCACTTACTTCACAGTATTACAAGAATCAGGATCACTCTAATACACTTATTTAAACACAGAGTTTCTTCACATTACCTCCAAAAGCATATCTGCTTAGAAAATACAATGATATGACAGATTTGGGGTTTTCAAAGGCTTCCAAATGAAAGGGGCCAAAACTGGTTCTGCACATTTTGAAGTCAACAAGATCTTTCAGCATTTTCAAATCACCTGATTATCTTAAGTGGCACACAGCCTACGTCTCCCTGTGGCATAGAGCTGTCTTGTGTACATCCATCATTTTTAGATCTTTCTCTTCCCAAAACTATTCCTTTTGAAAAGCTTTTGACGTACTTAACTTACAAGTTTATTAAACAAAAGTTTTCCAAATTAAACGAAGATTAACAACGCAGATGGACAGAATAGATACTATACTTGTTGATTCTAAGACACACTGTCTCCCACAAATCAGGATACAGTCTACTACCAGACCACATCTCATGATAAAATGCTCCCCCTCAAAAAACAAACAAACAAAAAAAACCTGTAACTTTCAGAAAGAATTGTGAGTTTTGATACGTCAGTACTTACCTCTGCCAATTCAATATTATAACCTAGTAAGACCAAGGAGTGTGTTTGCCTGATTGTTACTTGAGTTGACTTCCTGCCTACACCACCCCACTGAATTTTAACTGAAATTCTCATCCTTACCTATTGCTTAACATGTTTTCAAGAAGTTTATAGTATGGTTCACCAATGAAACTAAAGTTGATAATCTGACACACTCTGGGCAATGTAAAGTGCATGGCTAAATAAATGCCATAGTCGGTTCAATACTTTCTTTGTACAATTAATGTACTTCTTTCCCAGACCTTTATGTTCCTCTAACAGCCCTAGTGGCACAGTGCTGAAGCGCTCGGCTAATCAAAACGTCAGTGATTCAAACCCACCAACCAGCCACTCCATGGGAGAAAGATGAGGCAGTCTGTCCATAAAGATTTATAGCCTTAGAAACCTTTTGGCATTTCTACCCTGTCCTAAAGGGCGGCTATGAGTCGGAATCAACTCTACAGCAGTGGATTTGGGATTGATTTTGATGCTCTTATTACCAAATTAATGGTACATCTTAAAGTCAACATCTTACAATTATCTTAGAATTCTAAGTCAACACATTAGAATACAGGAAATACGGTAGTTTAAATTAATGTGAGTAATTATTCACGGTAAATATTCATCAAAGAATAAATGAGTTACTAATAGTGGTAAGATTAATGAATTAGTGCATGATGAAATTAACCCTTCATTTAAATAGCTATCAAAAGTTTCTATGAAGAGATTAAATTTCAAGTATTTTATGAATAGATAAATTTGAAAAACTGTGGTCTACTTGTGAAATAAATGGAATACGGGAGGAGTTATAGAACTGATTACCCAAGAGGATAAAGAGCAATCAAGGTAATCACATCACTTAATAGTTCAAATTCTTCCATATTCCTTTGCAATTATTTACTGGTGCAAAGGAAAGTATCATGTCAACTGTACTGAGTGCCTTAATACAATGCAAAGCTCTATGCAAAGCAGGCACCATGGAAGGGTAATACAATGACCCATCAAGATCCTAGACCACAAGGGGTTTAAACTAAGTAGAGGTTGGAAAACATGTATACCACAGCTAAAATATAATGCAAAAGGCAATTAATACCAGGGCTTCAAACTGGTTCTTACTGGTTCATCATGGCCAACAAATCGAAACCAGAAAGGACCCAACTGGGTGAAATTATAGGTTGACACCCTGCCAGAAACATTAAAATCTCCCTCTTAGTAAACAAACACAGCATGCGTATTGCACAGCAATCAAATTTCTT